TGAGGCTGTACATCTCTATGGAAGCAGTGGGTTTGAACCACTGACTTTTAGAGGAGGGCTTAACCTAGTGCATCTGTGTGTGTGTGTGTGTGTGTGTGTGTTAGAGAGACAGAGAATGAAAGAAGACAGAGGAAGAGAGGGAGAGAGCTCACACAATCATATGACTGAATCCCTTCTGTGTATTTCAAATTCTACATAATAGAACAATAAATGTCCATCCGTATAAATCTGACAAATGTCAAGAAGAAAGCCACATATGAAAATAGCAAATGTTTAAAAATTCTTCTGATGCTTTCAAGTTTGTAATTCATGTTTTAATTTCTACAAAATTGCTTTCTTTAAAAAAAGATTGAGAGAACAGGGTAGTTCCACTGGACTCTGCCTCTCCAGGTTTCAGTATGAAAATCAGAATTTTTTAGTTTCTGCCTAAGAAAAAAACTGAAGAAAGAAACTAAAGAAAGGAAAAGCCCCATCAATTAAGCTTCAAGTTTAGCTGCATCTAAAAAACAATCCATGTTACTTCTAAAACCAAATACATCGAATAAGACCTCCTCTATTGGACAATTGTAAGGTGCTAAGACTAAAGATATAAAATTCCATTTGAAAATTGAGTGGTATACGAATGACTACTCACTTCAGCACAAAACAAAGGAAAAGATAAGCCCTGCATGGGTTCCAGGTTCGTAATGACTTCACACCTGTATCCACCACACCAGAGACGCGCACGGAACAAACATCTGTAATGGGAAAGGCCCCCCTTTTCTCCTGGCCTGTTAAAAGCTTGGAGATGTGAATGCCATTTTCAACTATGAAGATTAAACAGAAAGAAAGCAATGCTTGTTGGATGAGGTGAAACTGCTTGAACATGGAAGGTGGCTGTGGTTTTTGAGAAATGCACTGGAACCACATATAAAACAAACCCAAGCCCAAGGCAGATTTCCACTCCTTAGTTTAACCACAAGGGAAAACCAGAGGGGCAGCAGTCCGGATGGAGAGGAAATGGAGAACCGAGAGGTTGAAGAGAGGGCTGGAAAAGGCAGCGGATTAGATTCGGGCGTCTGAGCCTGGGCTAGAAATGGAAATCTTCAAGAAAAGCATAAAGATGGTCTGCCCTGAAATAGATATAATATCTAAATATATGCATATGCACACATACATAATGTATGCATATGCACACACATATATACATAATATACACATATGCACATACACACATAATATACGCATATGCACATATATGCACATACACATATATACATAATATATACACACGCACATATATGCATACACATATGTACATAATATATACATATGCACATATATGCAAAGCTAACATGAAGGCAGTAGTTTGCAGAGGTCCATCCGGCACCGGTGGCCTCTGGCCACGGCATCAACAAGAGTTGGGGCCGGTTGCACAGTGGTTAGACTTGCTGTTGGGGAAAATGAGTACATTCTTAGGTGGCTGGAAAGAAGAAATCAAAAGAACATAAAGTCAGCATCATCCACATCTGTCTTCGCCTTTGAAAAGGAAATGCCAATTAAGAAGGCTCTTTGTTGAAACACCATAGAATGGCAAGAATAGATCTCTCCACCCCCTTCATTTTTGTATTATGATGGATTTTCTCTCTGAGGTATTTCTTAAACCCTCTGAAATTGGGTTGATGTGTGCTAACTTGGGTGAAGGGGAAGAAGAAAAAAGTGAGAAAAAAACCTTGCAATTACTAGTGTACCTTATTAGAGCTAAATTAACTAAAGTTTGGGGGGAATTTTTTGATGTCTTCAAAGCTTATAATAACAGAAATAATTCAAAATGGTGAAATAAACACCCAGTTATTTCTTGACCTGCTTGCCAATTGCCTTTGATTGAAAACGCAGCATCAACAGAATGGCTATTACTAACACCAGATGCCACTGAGTCCATCCCAACGCACACGCCGCGGTGTGTGTCCGGGAGAACTGTGTGCCAGCGACGGTCAAAGGCCGAGTTTCAGAAACAGACGCTGGGACCTCTTCCCAGGCACTTCTGGGTTGAGTCAGTTAGGGTTGACTGCCCACCTTCACTGTTTACACCGTCCCTGGCTTCTTTTTCACCTAGCCAAATCCCCAAGTTCCTTCCATCTGGAAATGCCACCCACTGCCTCTTCCAATAGAGAACAGAAAGTCTTTTCCTGAGCAGGTACGTATTTCCCCCTACCCGCCTCACTGTTGTTTGCTGTTGATTTATTAAATCATGCCCAGTTGAACCCTGCTGGGATGTGGTGGGTTACCTGTTGGGTTGCTAACCGCAAGGGCAGCAGTTCCAAATCCCCAGCCACTCCATGGCAGAAAGATGAGGCTTTCTACTCCCGGGAAGAGTTAAACTCTCAGAGACCCACTCTACTCTGTCCTATGAGGTTTCTATGAGTTGGAATCGACTCAGTGGCAGTGGGTTTTTGGAGCAAACACTCCATTAATGGAAGTTAAAGTTCAAAGCCAATGTAAAGTGAAGGCAAGAAATAGATCTTTCTCAATATTTTAAGGATTTAAAATTTAGATGACCATGATAAGGAAACTGTGGCAATGGTTACCGGATTCAAACTTATCTTTAAAAGTCAACATGGGACTTGGAGTTGACAAGCCAGTCAGGGTGTGATGTAGCAATGTTCCTAAATGCTCGTTCCTAAATGCTTCCTCCCCGCCCCCACTATCATGATCCGAATTCTACCTTGCAAGTCTGGCTAGACCAGAGGATGTACACTGGTACAGATAGGAATTGGAAACACAGGGAATCCAGGGCAGATAATCCCTTCAGGACCAATGGTGTGAGTGGCGATACTGGGAGGGCAGAGGGAGAGTGGGTAGGAAAAAGGGAATCGATTACAAGGAACTATATATGACCTCCTCCCTGGGGGACGGACAACCGAAAAGTGGGTGAAGGGAGATGTCGGACAGGGCAAGATATGACAAAATAATAATTTATAAATTACCAAGGGCTCATGAGGGACAGGGGAGCGGGGAGGGAGGGGAAAAATGAGGACCTAATGCGGGGGGCTTAAGTGGAGAGCAAATGTTTTGAGAATGATGAGGGCAATGAATGTACAAATGCGCTTTACACAATTGATGTATGTATGGATTGTGATAAGAGTTGTACGAGCCCCTAATAAAACGATTAAAAAATATTTTTTAAAAAAGTCAACATATAAGACTGCTCTTTGGATACAGGGTTGATAGAAATACAAAGTTTTACTCAGTCAGCCCAGAAATCCTTATGCAGGTAATTGGACAGAGTATACATACAGAGTAATCTCTCCCTGTAAAAGAGGCTTCTACTCTTTAGCTACAGAACATTTATATCTCCTGAGCAGGAAAGAGAAAATGTCATTTAAAAATCAGTAGCAATTTAGAAAGGAGATGTGGCTCACCACTGAAATGTGACCCCTGCTTGTCTTGCAGCTTGGGACCTGAGAGGCCTTCAAACAAGGCAGGGCTCTTTGGGGGATGGAAACACTACTAGCATTTCAAGCTGAAAGCCTAGTGTGCAGTGGGATCGCAATTCCAGGCAACTTTGATATTGGAAACTATTTAGTAGTCCTAGACAAAGGAGTCCTCCATCCGTCAAATCACGGCATGTCTCTGTCTTCTCTGGGCGACCCTGGCCATAATGACCCACTCAGCTCAGGGCAGCTCTGTCAGGCTCTCAGAGGGGCATGCTCGGATGAGATCATTTCACTTGCATTTTTGTACTTTCTATGGAAAAGTGTATCAAATACCAAAAAGAAAATCAGAAGGTCTTGTTCTGGAGACTCATACATTGACACAATCTTCCAACTGGACTTTTGGAATATTAAAAAAAAAAAAAAGGTTTAGGCTCATTACCAGCTTTGGTGGGCGTCACTTCTGGGCTGAGCGAGACTGTAGGTTTCAAAGTAACAAATTGTGTTTTACTTGGAGCTGGAAAAACAAAAGGACAAAACAAGCAACAAATAACATTTAGACATTTCTGTGTCCTAAGTCACAAAAGGAAAACCTATACGTCAACTATACATTTAAAGTGCAATCAACTCATCTTTGTGGAAGAGCTTGGAACTATCCATTTGAAAGATGCGTACTCCATTCACAAAGAAGAGAAAGGTAAATACAGTGATATATTTTCATGTGATTAAAAAAATCAGAAGTGTATAGTAGAAGAAAAACATATAGCACTGCAATATCCCAATAACTACATAGTGATTTCAATCCACGATTTTAAAACATCAGTCTACTTCATTTTTCCCTTACTTTGTATTTCTCAACATTAACCTATAATCACCAGGAAAAACTTAAGTTAATATTCACCAGTAAGTATAGTGATATGATCTGAAACATAAAAAATGATCATTAACACCATAGTAGGAAGACATTTTCCCAAATGAAGTCAGAAGTTGAACTTGAGGGCCTTACTAAGTGAACTGTAGACCAGGTTCAACCTCAAATTCAGTAACTGAACAGAGACAATGGCCCAATGGCTTTCTAAAGCAGATGAGGATGCACAAATGCCAAATTCAAGCTTCCTGATTGTGAAACCAGCTATCCACTGCCTGGGTGTCCACGAGCTCCTCCTAAATGTTCAGATGAGCCACTTAGGATAGCTATCGACATATTAACAAGAGTCGGGGCACTGATTTTGCATGGTGGAATTTAAGATCGCGGCTGCTAAGGCCAGGCCATGTTACCCAGTGTTGTTCCAGGACTCGCAGTTCTTTCTGGGGATGGGAAGGGGAGAAAAGAGGGAAAGGTAAGATACTCTAAGAGCAACAAAGATTTATCTTCCAAAGAGGCACTGAACGGCTGTTCAAAGTCTTGAATATAATGAATAGAGTTTCCCAAGTAAGTGGGGTGTGAAGGCTTTGGGAAAGAATGTTTCAACTCGGTCATAACAATATATCAAACCCACCCCCTCCGAGTCATTCCCCACTCCTAACCGGCCTGTTAGTTCAGAGCAGAGTGCTTCTTGGGTTTGTAAGGTCTCTTTGCGGGTTTACAACACTAAACTTTCTGTGAGCAGCCATGCACATTAACCGCTGTATCGCCAGGGTTCTTTAATACTAATAGAGGTCATCGAGAATGTTACTTACAATACAATGTGATAAGTGAAACACATTTTGTTTCACATGAGCCTGAGAAAGCTATTTCACAATGAAAAAATACGAAAGGGCTTCAGAAGGTTTTGGGGAAAATGTCCTTATATTTTAATTCCAATAATTTAATTTAATTCCAATAATTTTTGAAGTCCCTTCTGATTACTTCCAGGTTGGTAAGCTACTGTTACCATTAAAACTAGTGCTGTAATATATATTGTTCCCTTCTCTTTTCTTCTGGATGGATCCTACAGGTCTTCTGAAGATGGTATTCTAAACTCTTACTGTCTTTCTCCAAGCTTCTACACAAGTATCATCATCTCCATCTCAGCCATTGCCCCTGGCCCAGCTGGAAAACGGCAAACATAATTCTCAAACCTACTGCCAGAGTCAGTTCTTTCTCCAAGAGGCGCTGATGGGTTTGAATCACGAACCTTGTATGCTTACCTGGCAGCTCCACCAGGTCTCCTTATAAGCTTATTAGCCACCCCACAATTCTCAGACTGATTAGCCTATTAATATTTAAAAATAGATGCACACTAAGAAAATGAGCTACAGCTTACTCTTATGTAATAGCACAACTCATTTCTAGGTTTACACCATTCCAGCCCATAGACCAAATAAAGCCAAGTGCCTTGGGCAAGAGGCTGGCTTTGTGGAGTAGTGTGCCTCTTGGTACTTAATTGGGGGAACTGGGTTTGCTGATCCATAGAGTTGGAGCTTTACAATGAGTTACATGCCTCTGGGCATTTATTTTTAGCCCGAAAAGGGTTTTATAAAATTGCTTAAGCAGGACAGAGTTCAGACCAAGAGGCTAAGGGGCACAGAGAGGCTTGACCTGACTGAGCAGCGTGTCTCTCGAGCATTTATTACATGAATTCGCACCTACTAACTTCACTGGTAAACCTCATTATCAGGAGCATCCTCTGTAATGCACATGGAACCCAGCCACAGAAGGGAGGGATGGTTGTTGTCTGAACTGATAAAGGGATTTGGGGTGAAGGTGTGTGCGGCTTTTGTCTCGGTGCAATCACCCCGGGGCCATCAGAGATTAGCTATGGTGCTTTGACTTTCTCCACCAAGAAAAGAAACAAAGGATAACCATTGAAACTAGCATTCAGCACTGGGTTTGCGGTGAGCTTTCAAAGCGGCAGCACCAGTGTGGCGCCAGCAAGCGCCTTCCCCGGAGATGACTCTCGGCATTGTAGACAAAGCTGCCTACCTCTGTTGAACTGTCTGTGAACACGACGTGAGCAGTGTTCCTTTGGGCTTCGTGTGCTACCTGCTATGATTCAGTAGGTCATCTTTGGGATCTTGAAATGTGCATTTTCCCATAAAAATGAATGGCAATTATGTCTTCATTTTGCATGTGTCATTTCGATGTAAATAAAAGGTTTTGTTAAGTAATGCTCTACTTTCAGATTAGGAGGGAAACTCCAACCTGATAGGTTATAGAGATAGTTATTTACCAGTTTTGGTTCTTGATGGTTTGGACTTTGAGCGTCTTTTAGGTGTAGAAGGAATAGATGTAGTTGGCTGTGGAGCTGGAGGGGAAAAAAAGATTTAATAAAACATTGGTAAATGATATTTTCTGTGGTCAAACAGTATGCGCCTGTTACCTGAGCATAAACATGGGTTATTTTTCTCTGTATCCCTAATGTGCCCACATCATGTTTAGACACAATAGGTGATAATTAGAAATGTGTTGATTGGACCAAAATGAACTTAATTTCCATATGAGGGCTAAAGGTACGGGGTCCAATTCAATGGAGTAGGACTTGGGCATTCTGGAAGCATTTCAGAACACCTGTTATATAATTAAGAACTCAAAAGATAATTTATTGGGTAGCATAGGAGAAGCACAAATAAACTACTTAGGATTTAGAGAACATCTTTAATTATGTAGCTCATTATTATCTTTGCAGTGAATTAATAAAAGTTTATTACTCTCATAATTTTCTATTGTAAAATTTAGGTTTTATTCCCTTCTTTTTCATTATGTGAAGATTACGGACCCTCCTTGGTAGTCTTGACACTATGCATATTTGGAGGAAATACCATGCCAAAGAGGAATCTAGATATGCTAAAAGCAATGTGTTTTAAAATGATTAGCATCGATAACCCCCCTGGCATTTTCCAGTAGGAAGGCGTTCCAGCTGGAAGAACTACAAGGAGGGAAATAATTCTGTGAAATACAGACATTAGCATGAAAGAAGTTCTTGGAGAAGCATCACCAGGCTAAGGATGATACATAACCCAGACCTCTGAAGAATTGCATGGTGAGGAGTAAAGGAAAATGTTTAGTAATGAAAATATGCGCAACAGGCCAAGTTGGCTGATTCTTTTCCCCCTCCATATATTTGTTATTTCCAAGCATACAACTGCATGAGTGTCATTAGTTACCAGGTGTTGTAGGTTGTAGATCAGGAATAGTTAGGATTTCCGGTTTCTGAGGAACAAATGATGTTTCCCTGGGAGCTGAAATTACAAATAACCCATCTCATCATAGAGTCCCAGTTGAAATGAGGTATTTAAAAAAAAATTTAGCATGCATTTAGATGGTTCAAGGCACATGCTACATTACACAGTTAAGGATGAAAATGTATGTCATCCTGAATGCTGGTGGATGAAAGGGTGAAAGGGTGATTTAAAGAAAGGAAGCAGCCAGGTGAGAACTGCTCACTAGGCAGCTCCAGGCAGCCTCCGTGCATGGGCATGATGTGATGCAGGCCACAAACACACACGAGGGGAAACGATGAAGAAATCCATGCAGTTTTCACAGGAGGGGGAAAGTCATTGATTAGATTTTAAAGAGAGTAAAAAATGGAATGTAAAAGATGCCAATACTTTATGAAGAAACATACATACATTTAGAAATAGGTGATAAATGATTAGATGGGATGGATGGAAGGCAATGATCATTTAGAAGAAAGGCATTCACATGAATTTTCCTTTGGTGGAAAACAAAGTATAATTTTTCTGTTAAAAACATTACCCAGTGTTGCCCTTGGCCGTTCATGAGTTCTAGAAGTTTTAGGTGGGACAGAATCCAGAATAGGATCCCTTGTTGCTGTTGGAATAAATGTCAACATTTATCAAAGCAGGAACAGGCCCCAGGAATAAACTACAAACCTATGAGCAATAAACTAGGCCACAGATAGGGAGAAATATCCAGAACACTCGAGAGACTGCTGACCAACATTTTTAAACTAGTGACTCATCAGGAGGGGAAGGTGAGCTCATTTTTAACAACATACATACTCTAAATTTTATAAATCTTGATAGAAGTGCTTCACACATGTGGTGGATTTTTGACTTTTTTCTTGCAGATGACAATTATTTCGCAGTTGCTAGTGGACATTATTATTAGCATTCTATTTCAAGTTTTATTTGTGTTGCCATTTGTATCATGCTAAATATACCATTATTTAGCATGATACAAAGAAAACTATTTATACCAGTCATATCAGATCTTGACAAAGGTCTGGCTGGGATGGAGATTTGTACCTCGGTTGAGTAGCTGCTGAACTAAGGCTGGGTGACAGGGACTCTTGTGGACTGAGTTCAATCTGTGGATGATCAGTAAGTGAATGCCAAAGCTTAGACATTTATAGACCCAGGAATGGCATGATCACTCTAGAGTAAGATTTCTCACCTTGGCACTACTCGTGTTTGCAATCATTCATTCTTTTCCGGGAACTACCTGTGTCTTGTAGACTGTCTAGCAGGCCTTTACCCACTAGATGTCAGTAGCCCCTCCCCCAGTGTTTCTAGCCATTGCCAATTTGTCCCTGGAGGTGGGCTGGTGGCAAAATCACCCATTTGTGAATCTCTGCTCTAGAGCACTGTCAAGGCTCTAAAGACATTTTAGAATGAGTCTGAACTACAAACAGACACATGGACAGACTATGACACTACTTTGCCTCATTGATAGCCAAAGCCACCTGCATCCCTGACATGTGACAAAGCTTATTCCCTGATGGATGTAAAGAAATAACGGGTCAATGGCAGAAGTGGGTAGAAGACCTCACACGTCCTTGACAGAGAAGGCCCTTTCCTCTGCTGTGGGCTCCACAGAGAGCCCTTTCACACTCTGCAAAGGAAGACCGAAGCTCGGAATTGCCAGAACGCCCAGGGTCCATGCCGGAATGGAGAGGCTGGGTATACCTGCACTGGGCTCTGCTATTTCAGGCTCGTCTGATGCCAGTGGGCTTCCAAAAACAGGCGGTATACCATAAGTTGCAGGGCTTCCAAAATCAGGCGGTATACCATAAGTTGCTAAAAAGAGGAAGAGGAAAAAAAGAGAGAGGGTGAAACAGAGACATTAATTGGAAAGCTTTCATTTCATTTTTTAAAGGTAGCTGAAGATGACCGGTTTTACATGGGGGCTGGCTGGAACAGACATGAATGGATGGGTAGCCTCCTCACTGGTGTGTAAGCATGCCCCAGGCTTCCCTTTGCTCCTCGTTGCCCTGAGCTGAAGCTTGCTTTCATAAGACCAGCCCTGGCCCGCTGGTCTGCGTGGCGAGGTGGACACAGTGCTCTGCATTTATGATGAGGCAGTGCCAGCTCGAAATCAAAACGCTTCAAAGAGGGTGAACAGAAATGAAGTCCAACAGCGGCGGAGGGAAAGATCGCGAAAGGAAAGAAGGGAACCGCAAGAATACTGGGGCCATTTACACGGTCTCCAAAGGACCCTCTGCTTAGTAAATGCTTCTGGCCTGATGTCTTGTATTTGAACAGCACAGCACTCTCATATCACAGTTTCCTTAGTCCCCTGGATGTCTGAGAAAGAGGTGAGGTAGATATGATCCCCATTTGCTTGATAATGAAGTTGAAGTTTAAGGAGGTGAAGAGCCCTGTCAGTGAGCTCGCACTCAGATGGTGAAGTTCAAGGTATACTCTACTCCATCACAGGGCCGGGATGGCAGAGCTAAAGCCAGAACTGTCCTCTCCCCTCACCTCTCCTGCCCTTTCACGGAAAGACGGCTTTCCTTCCGAGGCCCGCCATGGAGCCACGCGCCCTTCTGCACGTGAGGTAGATTTAAAGATACATTATCTATTCTATACTGGGTTAAACAAACAAACAAACAAAGTAGAGTGGACTTCAAACCAAATTCAAGTGATTCTGACACAAGGGGAATTTCCATCTTCACATACAAGTGGAATCTAGCTGCAAAAACAGCACCCAAACAAAAACGCCCTGTCTGAGGCATCCAAGACCTGCCACCACGGCAAGGCGAGGTGAGAAGCGAGCGTGAGGTGTGACGAGGTAGACCCTGCTCTCCACGCTCATCTGCACAGAAATCAAATAAAGGGAAGGGAGCGACTGGGAAGGTTTACTCACTGGGTTACATGTAATTCAGACACAATGCTTATGTAGTCAGTTTAAGCTATTGCTGGTTGAAGCTGTGGGACACATCATATCAGACCCAAAATACACACTACGACGCAGAGAGGTCATTTTATACTGCGCAACATAAAGAAGAGGTAAGAAATGGATTTTGTGAGGGTGAATTCACAGCTTTGCAAAATCATCAAAAATTAGAAACTGTTGTGAACACTAATAACATATTAAGACACTGAGGATTTTTTAAAACACACAACCTTGCAGTATAAATTTTATCTAGCCTAACTGTAAATTTAAAGGGTCATATAAAAGCAACAACAAAAAAACCTCACTGCCACTGTGTAAGTTCCCACTCACAGTGACCCCGTAGAACAGGCAGAAATGCCCGTGGGTTTCCGAGACTGTAACTCTTGATGGGAGAAGACGCCTTCTTTCTCCCTTGGAGGAGTGGGTGGTTTCAAACTGCCGACCTTGTGGTTAGCAGCCCAACACATAACCACTACCCCACCAGGGCTCCTAAAAGACCAAAATGGGGTAACTGATCTTTTAAGTAAAAGTACTAGCAAGTCTCTGATCTTCAGTTCACTTTAAGCCAACTTCCAGTCATAGGCCCAGGAGGGCTCTCTCCATTTGTATTTAACCATCTTACATTAGGAAAGAAATGATGAGTTCGTAGCTGGACTTATTTTATTGTTTTTGAAAATTGCCACTACTTAGTTTATGCCACACTGGGTGATTTTCCTTAATTGTATGCTTTTGATTTTAAAAGATGATATACATTCATCACTTTTCTATTTACTTTACATATTTACAATTCCCTTCCCATCTGGAATCCCAAGCCAGCTTGCCACCTTCTCTCCAGTTCTTCCCGATGGCATTTCCCTGAGGAAGTTAGCCTTCCATTCATCATCCTCTGGCAATTCCGGCTCATGTCTGGAAAGTCCTAACGGGCAGGGACCTCGTATTTCCAAACATTTTCTAAAACAAACTGCAGAGTGAGAAACACATTGGCCAGTAGACTCTGCTCCTGAGATTTCTTTTTCTGGAATTTCTGAGAGTTAACTAATAAAGAATAAAGACTGTTAAAAATTCAGCGATCCCACCAGCCCCTCAAAGTTTACGCTGTCTGGACAGCTTTCAGAAGCACACCACCACTTCATTTTACTCTTGGGTTAGACAAGATGCGTCAACTCTGAAGTCAGAGCTGTTAGAGGACAGTGTTGGAACGGAGCTCTCTCAAAAGCTCTCTAAAAACCAACAGCTCTTGAATTTAAAAAAAAGTTTTTTTACCAAGTCCTTTTATGCCAGAGTAAAATACATGACATGGCTAGGCCTGTCATGTTTTCAAAGGACACTCCAGCTATGACATGGATAAATAGGTGTGAACCCTTCTATTTTATACAGCTTCCATGCTAACAGATCATATCTAGAGGCAAGCACATTCTGTCTCCTATGGACATTTTAGTGCAGCGGTTCTCAACCTGTGGGTCGCGACCTCTTTGGGGGTCGAATGACCCTTTCACAGGGGTCACTCAATTCATAAGAGTCGCAAAATTACAGTTATGAAGTAGCAACAAAAATAATTTTGTGGTTGGGGCTCACACCACGTGAGGAACAGTATGTATTGGGGGTCACCTCAATATAAGGGCTGCGGCAACAGGAAGGCTGAGAGCCACTGCTTTGGTGGCTAAGCTAGCTCTCTGACATGCAGCATTGCCTCTGATCTTGAATTAATAATATATACATGGGGCCAAAACTTGTAGAAGAAATCTAATGTGTGTAAAGTAGGGAGTTTAACTCAAAGCTATAAAAAGCAATATTACTTGCTGTTGCCAAACAGTAATTACTTCTAAGCATGACAACACAATTTTAGGCGTAGATTTTTCAAAGGAGACATATTTGCTCTGAAAGTACCTGTGGGTAGGAATTAGACCCGGTCACTTTGCTCTTTGTAAAACCACACTGTTAGATTACATTTCATTTGTTGTACATTTTTTGGCTTTTTTTCCCTCTTGTCTGATTAGACCTAATTTCCACAAGACAAAAAATGTCTTGATACTACGTTGGAAATATGAAGAGGCTTCAAAAAGTTATAGAAAAATTCCATTATCTTTTCATTCCATTGTTCCACGAGCTTTTTGAGGCCTAATTGCATATGATGGCACCCAGACTATTTCAAAGTATCAAGAATGTACACCCCTTAATTTTATTCAAGCAGGATGAACATTAGTGATTATGTGAAAGAACTACCTCTTTTAAATGTAATTTTTCAAATGAAAGACAAGAAATGGTGTCAGTTGTGCTTACCATGTATCCTTAGACTGATTGATCCCAGAGCCTGATACAGGCTGGATACTCAATGTGCAAGATGCCCATTAAATAAACAAACAAATTTGAAAGTTGGACAGTTTACGTCTCCAGTAAAGGCAAGTGCATTTGCTGCTTCAAGAACAAAGAAGCATGGCCTGTAATCATTACGTGATATGCATGTGTATGCACACAAGTCTCTTCCTCTAACATAGGTTCCTAAACTTATTTGGTCCTCCATCCCTTTTTCAGGGGGCAGAAACAAATTTCAACATCTTCTCGGCAATCAAAGCTTTTTGTATTATAGCTCTTAGTCCAGGATACAATGTAGGTATCTGCTTTTTAGCCCCCCTGGATCAACCCAAGACCCTACTGGAGGGCAGTGTCAGCACTTTGAGGAGCACCACTTCATACCCCACCTGCCATGTGCCCAGGCCGTCACACCCGGCCATGGGACAACCACGGGGAGGACTACAAACACAGACATTTGCCACCCCAAAATAAATACATAAATGAAACAGGGGTATCAGTACATTGCTGAAAGACCAAAACACATTTAAATACCACACACAACGTTCCCAGAACCATGAACAAAGCTGTTTTCAGTCTGTGGAAAAATAAAATACTTTTCTAGCAGCCTTGAAATTTATTTTAAAAAAAACGTTGCTTGCAAGAAAACGCTCATGCAACAAAACCAAAGGCCGAGACTATAAATCTCCACGAGGCCACAATAAATCTGTGAACCATCTGCTGCCCCTGAGCTCCATTTTCCGCTCTCAGACCGTCACCACCACCACGCACTCTTCTTTCCCTCTCTCTAGGGCTTTAACCAGTTGGGTGGGCCAGATCGGCACTAATCAACACCTGACTAAGCAGGCAGCGAGGTCCAAATGTAGAGGTGACCTCCTTTCAAGGAGGTCACCCTGGGCAAACCACCTGTGGCCTAAACTTTCTAACCAGGATACCGCTTCACGTTCACCATAAGTTAGTCAGCTTACATTTACCTTGTACTTTGCTAAAGTTCTACAAAGCACTGAAAGAATTTAACACTGAAAACAATTGGTGATCAATTCTCCTAGAGAAGCCCCAAGAGTGGATTCTAACTAAAAATCTGAGGCCAATCATGATCAGTTCTGATGCTGCCAAAGAAAGCTGCTAAGCATAATTGCTGGTTGTTGGAAGTTAAAGAGAAATAATTACATCCTAAGACATCCGAGTAATTGGGCATGGTAATGGGAGGGCAGATTCAGCTGGTCCAGCCACATTGGAGAGGAGAAAAGCCAGGGTGGGATTCGCTAGGAATGAGAACAAACAGATTGAACCATCGTCCATTTGTGAGTGTTTTCTTTGGCTGGAGCTTTATATTCCTCCTGATAATAAATTATTAGCTTTCAAGGGGGGGGGCGGTCAAGTAAATATAGGAGACTCAATACACAATCAAGGTATTTTCAACCACCTCACATGCGTATGAAGCTGCTCAATGAAGAATGAAAACTCCAGAAGGGTGTGGGCTCTGGTGGGGCAGTGATGGCTTGTTGGGCTGTTAACTGCTGAGAGTATGGGGTACCATCTCCTCATCTGGCCTAAGACTATGGGACTCTAGGGCAGAGTGACAGAATGCAGGGGCTGCCTTCCTGGCCCATAAAGCAAAGGCCAAGGGACCATGTGACTGAGAGCCTGAGGATGGAAGAGAGACTTGGATACCACATGGCTGAGAGGCTGAGACCCTAGGAGAGACTTGGCTGCAGGTTGACCAGGACTATATCCTTAAAACTTGATGATCCTAACTGGTGGCAACCTATTGACTTCCCTAATAACTCCTCCCTTAATTATGAGTATTGCGTGTGAGTTTTGTGTGGCCACTGCAAGGAACTATCAAACCCAGTAGAGACATAGAGTGTCCTGGGAGGAAAAGAGCATGGAGGCACGTGTGACCCGCCTCCTGGCCCTAGGGAAACCAAAAGGGGTCTGATATGTAGTAAACCATTCAGTTGCAGCAGGATTAGGGGTGGGGCACATGAATTTTAATCCCATCCCAGCCTCTGTCCCTGTAAGAGGAATTTCCCTGGGGTATGGCCTTTTACATTTTACACCTTTTATTTTCCATTTTACACCTTTTATTTGACAAAAGAGAATCAAGCTGAAATCAGGGGAGGCTACAAGCCCAACTGAAGGAGCTCTGGGAGTGGACTGGGAGCCCTGCATGAGCCCTTCCCAGA